CCTACGTGTTCTTCCAGAATATGTTTTAAATCAATGCAAATTTCAATTAGATCCATGCATTTAGATCGTTCTGGAGATACCTTCTAACAAACATCCATCGTTTCATCTATCTATCCATCTAAACATTCGCATTTATAAAGTAAGATAACTAAGTAGGATAGAATAATAGAAACTTTATCCCACGTGCACGGAACGCTGCATTTTTCGGCATAATAATTAACCTAAGTATTATGTTATTAATAAAAATAATCTAATTATAGTATTGTAGTAGTTATTGCAGAAAAATCAACTTAAGAAAAAATATTACTGATATATTCTGTTATATTATAATATTATGTGTTTTGAACCGTTACTAATTAGGTTCAATAGATTGACGTGTGTATCACGATGTAAAATGTCAGAATGTGCATGATCGATTACATTTAATTAATTTAATTATTAAGACACACACAGACACACATAAAATTTACTTCCGCAATGGATGTTTGATGACAATATTGAAATTTTCAATGGGAAATTTGGCGTTTTTTTTGTGGTGCGTTATTTATTTAAAAGTAGCTATCCCCTAAGACTGTCCACGCGGAATTAAAAAAAATATTTACAAGCCTATGTGCTCTTCCAGACTATGTTCTTAGTATACCAAATTTCATCAAGATCCGTTCAGATGTTCTAGAGATATCTTCAAACAAACATCCATCTATCCATACGACCCTTAATAAGATGTCCAATTTTTTAAAAATCTATGTCTAAAAGAATTAAATCTAAATTTTTCACACTTTCGTATAGTACAAGAACCCGTTAGTCCTTCATCCTCTTTATATAAAAAGCTAGGAATTATATTTCTATTATATATTTATGAATGAAGACAGTAACGCTACACCGTTTGGACCTTCACTTTACCATAAAAAAAATTTCATATGATTTCATCGTCGATAAAATAATATTAAAGTACAGACCAACATTACTACGTTAAGTTTGAACTGGTTGAAATAAGACTGTACCAGATTAAAGTTGAAATGAAACTTTAGTAGAATAAACATATACGGAGCTTGATAAAGATTTTCTGATCAGTTGTGTCACGTGTCAGCTTTATTACGTGATCATTTGGTACAATATCAATTTTAACTGACGACCGTCTAACCTCAACGGAGAGACGATGTCTTTCGCAGTAAAGGCATTTTTTGTGTTCGGCAATAAGCAATCGCAAGTAAATGATGCTTTTATTACCACGAATTTGAACCATCGCAAGAATTTTTATCCGACTGACTAAAGGGTAACGTTTGCCGCGCAAAAACATAAGTATTGTCGTCCTAATAAGTTTTTCCTTATTTTTTAGATTTTAGAATAAACATTACCTGAAGGATGCATCAGCTAAAAGCTTATATTTTTGCTAATAGTATAATTTTAAACAATTTGTTATATTTTAAATTCCGCTTGAAATAAAAGAACTAATTCTCAGTTAAAATATAGCAAGTGCCTGTTTAAATTAATAGAGCAATTTTTTATATATACTTATTGCTTATAATTTAGTTAAGGCATCTGACCGTTTCAGTGTAATTCAGTCGTCTACTATTATCTATATTTTATTCAAATAGGACACATATAATTTTAAAAATCTATGCGCGTAATTGTATTGTTAAATAGTGTCCATTTGATTTACGAAAAGCATTTTGATGCACGCATTGAATTGAACACGGTTGATATTGAACCTTGTACATCCATAGCAGGTGAGTTGTCTAGTAATAAACAACCGATGCGCATTGGTCATGGTTTTGTGTCTCGTGAAGCTGAGCTGACTGTTAATTCGATTAGTTTGATAACGTCAATTCTATGACAAGACAAAGATAAGCTATGAGTCTCGACAGTTAATACATAATGAGACAACAAAGGTTCACATAAAAAGGTTTAAAAAAATTGTATGCATTTGAACAAATTTTTCTTGATTTTGGAATACTTATCTTTGGTTATGATGTTTATGGTATTGTAAGTTATATTTTTTAATTATTAATTTGCTAATATTAGACGTTGGATTAACCATTACATACCGTAATGTAAGTAGTTTTTCTAGAGCAGATTAAAAACATGCTTAAGTTTTTTTAAATCATCAATTAATTGTTCTTCTGTCATAATTATTGACAATCTTACTTTCTCACTAATATTATAAATGCGAATATTTGGATGGAGATTTGTTTGTAGGTATCTCCGAAACGGCCGCATGGATCTCGCTGAAATTTGGCATACATGTAGAACTTAGTTTCGAAGAACACATACGCTACTTATTAATCTTAAAATATTTCTATTCATTTATCTAATTGTAATACAAAAAGTCACTTTCATTTTTATGTTACTTTTTCTTTTATTTTCCAGTTTGTCACATTGTTAACCTCAAGCGACATAATAATGTTTTGTTAAATACAAGTTTAAATTAAAAATTGTTTGTTATAATTTTTTTTATTATTTTGTAAATGACATGGTCTACTTACAATCTAATCAAACAATCGATTCTATGAAGGATTTAAAATATTATCTGTTTTTGATAAAAATAATATTGTTATCAAATGGTTCAAGGGATGAAAGGTCAATGGAGGTCAATTAGGTTAAATCGTCATATTTTCCGGGACATCCTGTATATGAGTTTAACAATATAACCAAATACTGGAAAGACGTAACTGGATTTATACTTGAATATATATAAATATAATATTTAACACCTATATGATTACTTTCAGTTATCCTTAACATCAAATTTTTAACAATTTAAAAGAAAGTTATCTCCTCATCTTTTATTCCTTTTATCTTGAAAAAAAAACATTAAACGCTGTATCATTCAGTCAATTCGACTGTACCCTGATTGTGTACCGAAATCGGCCACTTAATCTAATTTATTATATAAACTAACTAACCGTGGATTTCTAAGACCAAAATATCTTTATAAAACATATCGTCATCCCTGTCATTCTTATCAATCATCTTTAAAAAAAAAACAGCGATAGCATTATGTTTTAAACGAAGATTAATATGCCTAATAAAGGTATATTTAAACTTCCCCGACTGCGACGTCCTAAGACTCAATATATCCCAGTCAGATTGACCTTGTCGAATACATAATCGAAAGTAAAGCAGACGATAATAAATAATATTAATATAAAATATTATCTGTAGCAATTATTATTAAGTAATGTCCTTAAGGAAGTAATACAATCATTGTATTGGTTTTGACAGTAAAGATTTTATCGTATTATAGTTCGCGGTTAGTTTGCGTAAAGCCTCGCGCGAGTGCAAGCGTGAATGCTGTTTGTGCGTGAATTTTGTGCAATGGTGAATATGAATTCGATAGCATTGCCCAGTGGAAGTGTACTAGTGAACATTCGACTATGGTTTTACAGCTTAGCTTGGCTACATCTCGTATTCACAGCTATTGTATCCCTTTCAGTAGATATGTCAGAAGACAAAGATCCTAAAGTCAGCGCGTATATTAATATTAGATGGAAATTAATCACTTGTTGGTTCAATGTAAATATATTTTTTTTCGTTATTTTAATTGATTATTTGAAATTATGGAAGTTAGTATGTCGTGTTATGGTTATCAATTTTATCTATGTGTTTTTTAAGTAGATAAATGATGGAAAGTTTGCAACATTTAATATGGACTGATAATAGAACTTATTTTCATACATTTTTCATAATTAAACTAAGTAATTTATATTATTGAGAGAAACAGCAGTTTCGCAAAAACATTATTATAAACTCTAATTAGAAAACATTATAAAAAATAAAACCAAATCATAGGTATCTAATCTGAAGCTATATTTTAAATCTAAATATTATTAAAATCACCTTTTAATTAATAATAATAATTTTTAGCTAGTCCATCGCTATTTACTGTTTATAAAACCATGTAAATTAATTTAAATTTTAAAATAATAAATGGCGACGAAATCTTCCAACTTAAGTTGCTATTTAAATTCATTACCTAAAAGACCAAATAGCAAAATTTTTCCTCCAGCGGAATTACGGGAAAATTTTGCACACATTTCAGAAAAAAATAATATAACAAGTTTCGGCTTATTTCTCACTTCATCCTTCACGTGGGTAGAGTCGCACGTATTGCCTAGTAATTTATAATCTAACTAGCTGTCACCCGCGACTCCGTCCGCCTGGATTGAAAAAAAACTTAATTAGTAGCCCATTACTTTTTCCAGACTGTGTTCTAAACCTATACTATATTTCAACGAGATCCGTTACGTGGTTCTGGAGATACCTACAAACAAACATCCATCTAAACTATTGCATTTATTAGTAAGATAAATACAGTTCACGAACTATTTGTTTACGTTTGTGAAATACAATATTGCGTAGTTCATTTTAATGTTAGTGACCCTTTCAATCAGTAAACATTTCAACCAACACAACTTATACGATAGCATATTAATTTTATTTTCTTACAAACAAATTATTTTTATTCTTCGAGCACATAAGCGCTTACTATAAGTTTAAGTGGGTTTGTAGTAAAGCACTGGTTAATTCTAGATATAAAAACTATCTAAATGTGGGTTTCTGAGATCTCTATTTCATCAAGGATAACTTTATGTTTTAAATAGAGATTTTGGTCTCAGAAACCAACAGTAAAAGTGTGTTTCACATCTACCACAAGACTCGTGAACGTATATATGGTAATTGTGTAAAAACTGAAGAGAAATGTTGTCAAGGAACAAATTCAGTAATTGTTAATGCCAAATAACAATGGATATTTTTTTAGTCATTTTCAATTTAACAACGAACGCCAATTTTGGATTTAATTTTCTTCCCACGCAATTGTTTTAAAACTGAACGCACCGTCAGCATTTGAGTGTAGAAATTACCGTTGATTTTTTAAATCACCTAAGTTACACTATCTTTTTATATGAACAACATAACTCACTAACAATATAATGTTAATGAGTTGGTTGTTTAATCTATGAAATTGCAAAATCGTAAGACATTAGTACAATCAGGGAAACTTGCGATGTTTTACCTTAAAAACATTTTGTCGCAACGTTCGTCGCAAGGTAAACATTTAAACAGTCGTTTTACCGTTTCATACGCATTGAGATCAGGACGCGGGACAATAACCAATAGGATGATTTTAAATATGTCTATAAGAAAAAAGGTCGTGGCACACAACTAATCCCTTTTACTACCATGGCGTCGTTTGCTACTTTACTGTTACCTAATAAGTTATTTTGAAAGAGGGGACGGAGTTTGTTTCCTGCATGAAACTGGGAAATTTTTCTGTAAGTTGTACACCGCGAAATTCCCTGACTGTACACAACAATATTACAAGTCGAGTGCTTGATCGTTTGATTAATATCTAGTACATTGGTACGTGGCACTCGGTGGCTCAAGTAGATTTTTTTTATTCCAGATGATAGCATTGGCGTACTTTCCCATCTGCATATATTGTGACTGGAAGGAACGGCGCGGCATGTGGCATATTCAACACGTAGCCTCGATCCGCCAGCTCAAAGACTACGTTATGACCAGCATACTCTTCCCAACGACAATGGTATGCTAAGTGGAATATGCATTTTGTTGACCATATTCCCACCGTGATATGATTCTACTGAACATCTTATTATCAAAAAACGCAAATGCAATTGAAGCTGAAATAAAAACTAAAAAGATCAATGAAAAAATCTTTTATTTCTCTTAGCCGTAAATTTTTAAATTTCAATTCAAGTTTCAGAGTCTCAAAGAAAAGCCTTTGTACTTTTTGCCTCTCCATCATAATTTATTTTACTGAATTTATCGTCGGTTTACGAGACCAAAATCTGTGTATAAAATATATCATCCCTTTCATTATCTTTGACAAAACAGAGATAACAATATGTTTTAAACGGGGATTTTGGTCTCAGAAACCCACGACTAGTGTTGTCAATGTTTACATGCCTCTTATCGTGGGTTACCTCTATTTCAGTTCGCTGACCTTATGTTCTGGCGCATTTGGCACAAGGACTTGAGCCTGATAGCGCCGCTGAGGATATTCACTTACTTGCCCTATTGGGCACAGCACTCCCTGCATACAGTCTCCATGCTCATCATGCTACTGGATCTGCTCCTCGTGCCGAGACGTAGACCGAACAATCTCAAACCTGGGATTTGCCTTATGATGGCATTTATGTTAACATACATGGCGATGTAAGTAAGGTATTTACAAATAAAACGATGTGCAGATGAGGATGGATGGATTACGGGTTGGAGGGGGGGGGGGCTTTTTAACTGAGTGATGTGAGACTGTGATTCGCATACGTGTGGCGCCTCTTTTTGCCTAGCGCCTTAGGTGGTCGCCCAACCATGCATGGCCTGTCTTAACGATCGGTACTGGGGAAAGGGATAGGATTCCTCTGTCCATTAAAGAGGCTAAGTTTTAATGCTTTTAGTGCTATTAGGTCCGCTTGCTGCTGCCACTTCTACCGTGAAATATTTTACAAGTCTTGCTGACTGAATTTTACAGTTTATATACAGTACCTATTCATCTAAGTGTAAATCCAAATTGTTAAGTAATTATGTACTGGACGATATATGTGTCATAGTAAAGTTAGCTTATCACGTGATCAATCATCAACTTTAATTTGAAGACACTCTAATCTTAATATGATTATTTATGTACTTCTAAAACAGTTGCTAATTATAAGACGATTGGTATTGATAAAGCAATTATCATAAGACAGAAAACATTATCTTCTAAATATACTTACATGTTTTATTAAAGTTAATAAACGAGTAGGGGAAACCGATTTGAATATTGACGCCCATAGTCATCCACAACACTAGAGACACAGGAATTGCGTTATTGGCCTTTTGGATAGAGATACACTTTTGTAACCTATAATTTTTTATGGGATGATTGAATTTAGATGGCTACACAAGTAAAGGAAGACCAAAGAAAGCGTGGATGGATTGTTTGAAAGATGATATTGCGTAAGAAGGGATGGATTCAGATATGACTGATAGAGATGTATGAGAGAGGAGTACATCCTGTGCCGACCCTCTGTAGGGGTAATGGCAGGTTGATGAATAATAATCGGATTTTTAGTTCAGTTACCGAGTTGATAAAATCCTTGATCAGATGTAACCGCTCTATTTCTTAAATGAAGATAAAGAATTTATATAGTTATATTTAATTGTACACATGTAGTTATTACCCAATATACATCCTCTCTGTATCGCAAGGTTAGCTGTAAGAGAACTCTTTTAGAGTTAAGCTCACCTGTACATCACTGTATTTCTATGTAATGTTACACTATGTACTTTAAACTGTGTACAAAGCTTAAATACATGTATAAAAGAAATGTTATTTTTTTATTTTCAGGTGCGGCATCAGTTTTCTAAACGGTGAAGTTGTTTACTCAGTGTTCCAAATATTTGATTCATTCAAACTGTTTTTGTTAGCGATAATGGTAATATTAGAATGTTTGTTTTTCTATTTGGTGCAGTGGTACATAGTTGATTTTGTGTGGTGTCCACAAAGCTACGATGGCACAAATGGAAAGAAACTAAAGGCTCAGTGAAGAGTTATCCAAATTGGGTTTTATGACAGTAGAGAACGCCAACGCCTGACCTGCGTCATGTCATGCCAATCGATTACTCAGAGATACACGAAATGATTTCTAGTACTTATAAAAATGCAAGGGACAGAATCAATGATGGAATACCGTTTTATGCTTTATCGATGTCCAAGTTGAGAGATTAATTGATAAGTAATATTATCATTATTTTAGTAACTCGCACAGATATGCATATTTGCACAGATACGCCAAAGTCTGCTTGTTATCGGCGACCTAATGCTACATTTCTTTTTCGATTTGTGAACGCTCAAATTTATTTACCGTCATACCGAGTCTTCCTGCCATAGATGAACATTGTGAAAAAACATTGAGTGATATTGTGTTGAATTATTAGTGTATGTATGTAATTTTTACCTAAGATATAAAGTTATATAATTTTTTTTTTAGACATGGATTAATTTTATCTTGATAGGTTTGCAATTTGTTATCGCGGTCGATTACAAATTATGACGCTTGTAATGATAATCTCAAATAAACTAATTTTAAGCAATGTCGCCTTGTTTCTACTGAATTACATTTAGATGTAATAGAAATATTAAATACTGTAAACGCCTTATAAATATGCTTAGCAATTGCTTTAAAGAACCTTTTGTCGTAACAATTGCTATTTGTTTTTAAAGATAAAACATTACTAGGGAGATTTACGGGATTAGTTTGTCAAATTTATAAATTTTATAATCCATTGAAAAATAGCAAATCAATTGTCGGCTTCTAGTCGCGCCTTTAAGGTAGTCTGTATTAAATTGTAAAAAATCTATCGGATGGCAATTAACAAATATTTATCAAAGAAAAAAAGGGTCTTTACAGACAGACGAACAGACAACATAGCGATCCTATAAGGGTTCCGTTTTTTTTCCTATAAGGTACGGAACCTTAAAAATAAAATAAAAGAGTTCTTTTTATACATATATTTCATATTTCTCTTTATTCTATCTCCATTGTAGTGTACAATGAATCTAATGGTAATAACTAATTATGTTAACTTACAGAATACTAGTACAAAACTGTCTATTCTTTGAAAAATATCAAATTTGAGCAAAAAATATGATAACATGAAATACACAATAATGTGCGTACAATTGGGTCAATGGGACCTTCAAAAGAAGAGTGAACAGACACTTACTAAGCTAGCGCGTACCATCTTTCGACCAAATCTTTACTAACACCTGGTGGGATCGTGGTCAAGCGCTAGCTTATAAAACGTAAAAAAAAACAATTCCATCCGTTGTACAAAGAATGGTTACTAAATTAATCGTTGGTTTCTGAAATCAAAATTTCTCTTTAAAAGTCATTGTCATCCCTTTTACTTTGATGAAACAGAGATAATAGTATGTTTTAAAAGGGTATTTTGGCTCAGAAACCCACAGTAAAATTATTTAAATCAATATTAAACATGTAAATGTTCGAAATCATATCTATCTATGCAGAGAGAGAAGGTTACCTGACCCGGTGAGCACTGCCGTAAAATTACCTCTCTCACCGGGCCAGATATCCTTGTTCGCCTATAATTGTTAAAATGCGCAATAAACTGATATTAAAGCAAGATAAATGTAAAAAAACAATATTTATTACTAATATATTTGTACTAAAATTTTCCGATGAACTTATCTAGATTTTTTTCTAGTCGTCCCGCAATTAACTATTTACTAAATTAACTTATGTATGTAATAAATGTACAGTCAGCTGCGAAAACATCATAGCACTTGTCTGCTACGATGTTTTTGCAGCTGACTGTCCATATAAGTCCTGTCTTAGGCAAGAATATATCACTACTTGATAATTACATCATTTCAACTATCACAGTATTTGGACCCTTATACGTACAAAGTTTGGTTGAAACTTAACTAAATATAACTTTTTTAATTACGTATCTAAGTATTTTTGCCAAATCTAAAAAAAAAATAGAGCGAAATGTTACAGTCTTGTAACTATGTTTAAAATATTAAATACTAATTCACTGTTTAAAAAACTACAATATTATAACTAGGTCTGTCTTTATAATTTCATACAATTTTCGCGTCTAATCTAGAGTCGATTTCCCAAATTTTAAAAATTTTGTCTCATAAAAGTTTCCAGAGACCTTTTTTTTCGCTTTTGTGCCATGGGTTAGGTATCTATATATATGGGTTTGACTTAAGTCAGATGAAAATTAATGATTAATTGTGTTTTTAAACGTCTTTTTTTCTTCAAATACTTACAAATCTTTGGTTTTAGATTTGTTACTAACTGTACAATGAAACAATATGGCAACTAACGCACTCAGAGATGTTAATTGGTCACTGATTTGACTACTTAACGTCTGTGAATGCGGAAGTAACTATAGTAAACATTAGTAAGTCTTTATCTGACTGCATTTAGTTTCCATTTTAACAACAAGAAGGCGGTAGTTCTCAACACGAAGACAAACACGGTGAGAGCTAACACGTCCCACCAAAACATGTCTGGCGACATCGCTACTTCTTTCAAAAATGTCCTCGGATATCTGTAACATAATAAACACACTTATATAGTTAATATTAATAAACACGATAAAGTATTTTCATTAAAAAGATGATTGATTTTTTAAATTATTTGTTAATTTGTCTTTGTGTTTGCTTGATATACGATGTTAAAAATTCTCACCTATAATGGCAATATTTGGCCTGGTTACAATCAAGTGTAGGTCTCTCGAGGCCGTAGATGGCTCCGATGAGTCCCTCAAGTCCATAACGCAAGTAGGAGACGTAGGAACCCCAGTAGAGGTAGGGAGGTAGGTCTCGCAGCGTCACCCCAAAGCCGGCGAACATCATCATTGGAACAGAGAGCGCGGGTCCCAGGAATGTGCCGTTCTAAAATAAAATACAACTGTGTAATAAACGATGCCTCCCCAGTTATAAACATAATAGAATATCATCAAATAGTCGTGATGACAAAATAATGCAATATTTCTAGGCTCTATTTTTTGGGTGCACAAAGCAGTTTGATTTAATTCATTAAGATTTTTTTCGTGTTCATATAGTCAAGTGAGTTTATTGATTAATTTAAATTGATTATCTATGCACGTATTATCATCACTCCTATCCTCATCCGCCATATAGCGTGGAATAAGGATGGAAGGACTCACCACAACATTGAAGACAGCGCCGATCATGAGGCCGAAACTCTGCGCGACGAGCACGGTGTACAGTGAGATCGCAAAGAACATAAGAAAGCGCACCACGTCCAGTGGTTGAGACGACATTGTATATACTATGATGCTGAACACCAGGCAGGATACGATCTGGCAATATAAACAATCATTGGTTATTGTTACCCTCATATCATCGTGAGGGGCTCGAAGCCTACCCTAAGTCAGGGTTTCCTATACCATAGTAAAACACGCTGACCCAGTGCGTCATTCATTGATTTTCATCGCAAATAACCAGATTGCATGACGATGGTTTCCTTCACCGTAACAACGTCGGATAAATGTAGGAACACATACATCACGTGAATCGAAAACACATTGGTACATGGCGGGATTCGAACCTGCTACAAGTTAAGTGCCCAACCCTTGTACCACCGATCACTACGTTATAGAGTTGATTTCTGATACAAAATCTAGAGTAAATTAGTTTTTTTTGTTTTACGCTAGGTATTATGGAATAAAAACTTACAGATATCGGCAGGTCCACAAGCGTTATCGATATGTAGTAAGATCCCAGGGAGTACCATCGATTGAAATGTTCCTTTATTAATATTGACATCTCTGATGGAACTGAAAAACAGTATTAAAACATTTAAACCTACTAATGTATGTCCAGGAAGTGATTTCTACTCTCATTCCTCCGGAAGACGATGACATAACTTGGTCCTATGTTACTGTAAACACTATGTAGTAACAGGCAGGGTTCTGTCCTGAGTAGTAAAATGCTTAGGGTTCCGGTGCGTTCTTCGGAGACCCCGTAAACCTTTTCAAGCGTGCTCGAGGTTGGTCACCGAAGGGGTTATAGTGGGTCAAACTCCACATAATCCTGTCTTCCGCATAGAAGGCACGGTATCTTTCAAAGATTCCTCCCGAAGAGATCCGAAGAAAATAGACGGACTAACTACAAGTATACCGCATTCTTAAAAAGTCTATTTTATTGACTTACATGTGAGTATGGTGAGCATCATAGGCGACATCATGTGATGCATCAGTATGGCGAACAGAAGGTTATAATTCTCTATTACACGCGAGCCCTCATTGCCCGCCTTGATGAACAAACTCCCGAGCATGATACCCACCACAACGTTCACTACAAGCCTCAAGTGCGTCATAGTCTGAAAGAAAAAAGACAGAATATCAATTAAGTACATCACAATACTCAGGACAGTCATCATCATCAGCTCACTATAAGTCCCTTATGAGGGGCTCGGAGCATACCCTAAGGGTGCCTAGGTTATAATACACCAGTGGCTGGCTGCTGGCTTAGTGCGGGTTGGTTCACTTCACACATATCTTTGAACAGTCGTAACTTATAAAAACGTGGAACTATATCTGCACCCACCATTGGTGGTCTCTATCTTGATTTGTACTTGATACTTACCGAATCACGTTTAGCTTTCATGAATCCCCTTTTTATGAGCACCGAGGTCTGGTTAGACTGCGACGTCTCTTCTCCAGCGGGTCCTGAGTCTTGTTCTTTTAGAACGCTGAGTGGATACTGCTTACGGAGCGCCTCCATACTAGGAATTTCCTCTGGCTCTTCAAACCAGCTCAGGTCTCTCCCGTTTTCTGCTTTATTAGTCAAGTAGTCTATCTTATCCTCACCGTATTCCCCGCACGCTAACTCTATTACTGGAAAATGAGAATTATAAACATTATTTTTTGTTTAAAATTAATTTAAACTTAAACTTTCCAAAAACATACTTGTTGAAAATTGTGTTTTGCAGACTCAATTTTTTGTAAGCAAATATGAAAATATCAACTATGACTAAATAACTCTTAATTTATATGTTAGTTTTAATATTATTTAAGTACAGTTGTAGACGTCTCGACCTGTGAATTCACTACGAATCAAAACAACAGAGGTCAATGGTTCATTGACGTCAGCAATACATTATCGCCTAGTTACCATAAATCTATTACTATTGAATCGATAACCTGGATTTAGATGTTACATTGAACATTGACTTTAACACAAATTATTTTTAACCCATCCATTATCTTAGTGTACGCATAAGTGGAACTAATTCTTTATTTTGTCTCCAATATTACAAAAAGTATCAAAAGGTTCACCATTTTTCCTATGATTTATAATTTGATGAATAAATCAAAAAGGTTTAGAAATTAAATATCAAAGAAATAGAGCATAATACAAGAGTGAAATAGAATTTAAAAAAAAAATCTGCTCGACAAACATCAAGGATTTACTCAAGGCATCTGTACTTACTGTAGTCGGCGGGATTGTGATACATGGGGCAAGGTAAGCCGGCCTGCTGTAGATACGGCACCAAGTTGGCTGTGGTGCCCTGATAGAGGCAACTGCCTGCTGCCAGCACATACACATGGTCGAAGAGCGCAAACAGAGACGCAGAAGGCTGATGCACCGTGCACACAATTGTTCGCCCCTGATGTGCCAAACTACGGCATAGTTCCACCACATTGGAGCACGAGGAACTGTCTAGACCGCTGCAAAGCAGAATTACACAAACTAACAACAATCATTCTTTTCAAACTTACTAATCTTACAGAACACATAGGGTGCTTATTGAGGTATTTTTTATTCCGCACAGACGGAGTCGCGGGCGACAGCTAGTCAGTAATAAATGTTGTAAGACTCAATTCTTAGCAACTTTATTGATTTCCACAACCATAGAAATAGCTCGTATTATCTATTTAATAGGTATAGTAAAACATTTAATATTTAACTTTACCGTGCAAGTAACTCGCATTCCATTCGATTTACGAGTAAATTTCTTGACTTTAATTTTCTTTCCACACTTATTCTTTAAGAATTTAGAACTGATGTTACAAAAGCATACTAACGTAGTGGGTTCATCTAGGAACATGATGAGAGGGTTGTTGATGAGTTCCAGCGCGATAGAGAGCCGCTTTCTCTGACCGCCAGACAACTGCGCGGCGCTAGTGTTCATGTGCTCGTATAAACCCAGATTAGTCAGGATATCTTCGATCTAAAAGCAAAAAATTGCTCCATAATTATTGATCTAGACAAGGAAAAAAATAATTTGCTTTGAGCTATGATGAAGATACATTTAGTAAGAAATGAAATGTAAGGAGGACAAAATTCAAATTATCGCGATGGTTAGGAGCAACAAATATTTCTCGTTAATAGACTCTTCCATAAAATAATTAATTCTAGATGTTGTTGAGAGGATACAAGTTTAGCCGCTTTCTTGTATGAATCCTGTTACTAACCACTTCTCCCTTCTCGTATTTGTCTAGTTTTGTGGGCAGTTTGAGGTCTGCGGCAAGCATCATATTCTCCCCGACAGTAAGCAGGCCCTGCAATCGATCGTCCTGCTGAATGTAGCATGACATGCGCTTGAACCTCTCTGGAAAAATTTCAGAATTAGTAATTTGTGTTGGTTTATAGCGTTATGGAACCATTAAGTATGTCATAAACATAGTATTGTAGTTTGATTTATTCGCGATGTTGGTTTATGGTTTTTATTGTATTATTTATTTATAATTAAAGATTGTAATACTTCTATATACAACAATGTTAAGATATTGAAGGAATTTATATCTTAACAATGACACCAAAGGCAATGTTTGCTTTGGGTTTTTTGTGAGTGATTTGTTACTTAAATTTTTAATTATACTCACTAAGGACACGTCCTCTTCCATTAATGAAGACTGCTCCGCCAACGCCACTGATACGGTATCCGGAGAGTACGTCGAGTAATGTGGATTTACCAGCGCCCGAGGGGCCCATGATGGCAATAAGTTGCCGAGGACGCAGTCGACCGTGTACCCCATGGAGGATCTGCTTTTGACCTGCGGAAGAATCAATATGAAAAAACATTGAAACGAGTCTCAGATTTGTTTTAGCTGTCTGCCTTTTTTTTCGACTACCTAACTAACCTACTTTTAAACAAATCTTTAGTTATTGTTATTTATATAGTTAAAATAGTCCAGTATCTTCTAACTTCTGAAACTTCCTGATTATTACATCTGTTGCCTAGGGTCTTGGAAGATCGACGTTGAAAATCTAATCTAAATATTGAGATTGCTCTACATGTAAAAACACGCTGTAAGTATAAATAAATTAAATGTGTTTTTTGTTTATTTGCATGTAATTGCGAGCTATCACTTTTCCGCGGTCCATCCCGACCCCAGTTATGATAACCCTTGTTTGCGTCACACCGGCAGTATCGCCGCAGCTCAGCCCTTCACGCGTTTATTACATTAATGTACTTAAAAAGAACTGATTTTACTACTTTAGAGTTTATTAGTAACTAACTGTCGCCTGCGACTCCGTCCGCTTGGACATATAAAAAAACTTAATTAGTGTAGTCCACCCATCCCTTCATCCACATCACATCCATCTAAACATTCGCATTTATAATATTAGTAAGTTAAATAAAAAGCAGCTCTTCAAGGCATAAATTCGAAAAAAAAATAGTGTCCTATGTCCGTCTCCTGGCTCTAAGCTACCTCCTCATCAATTTTCAACCATATAGGTAAAGCCGTTCTTGAGTTATAAATAGTGTAACTAACTCGATTATCTTCTATATATACATATAGATTATAAACTACCTATCTTACAAATTATAACCTATAACCTAAAATTATTTATCCATTAGAGGCGTTAAGATAGGGCGAGGAAGGCGACCGTCTAGGGCGACGGGCATAAGAAGGCAGAGTCGACTGTGGCGCCCCCTAACATATATTTGGAAGATTTCCTCCAACACAAAAAACTAAAACGGACGCCGCAAAAATCTTGCCGAAGCCGCCGGAAATGCTAAAACCGGCAGTAATAATATTTTTCAAAACTAAAAACATTTATGTGCATAGTAAATAATTAATGAATGAATACATTAAATTGTTATTAAGTCATTTGTTTCCTTGGTAACATTGAAAAGTTAAGTATATATGTACTATCACGATAGTATTACATGTTTATTACGTAAAACATTTATAGATTCCATTAAATTGTAATCATATTATATACTTGTATGATTTAATAAAATTTTCCATTCAACATACCGATCGCATCTTACAGTACTGAACTGGTTTCTATTAAAAAATCTATTTATTACTCATAAGCCAAGATGAGATTGTTCCTTAACGTGTTACTACGTTACTTCTTACTAATATTATAAATGTATTCGTTTGGATTTGTATTAATTTAAACTAAATTAACGTAAATAGGTCTAAGACAGGCCGACACCGACTCCGAAATAACATTAATTGTAAAGTGTAGACATATTTCAAGAGTAATTACTTACTATCGTGGGTGTTTGTTCATCACAATATTTTGTTTATTTTTGGTGCATTTTGTTTAAGAATGTTTTTTTGATTCAGAACGTTTTTTTTATTCAGTATGTTTTTTATGAAGTCGGCTTTATTTTCTTGAAAAGAAATGACGAGAAGGCAAGTGGATTTTACAGGGGATGGGACGTATAGGAATGGGAAATATTCTCTTTTTATGAATTCCTCCGATTAAAGGTAGGCAACGCATCTGTTATTGCAAATCTAGGTGGCCCCTTGCTCATTTGGTACCTAATAATATAAATAAAACCTCTTTTGTAACCACATTGACGTCCGTAATATCAATCATGTAAAACACGTGTTTAACAGATCAATGTCTAACATTTGGAGTTACATTTTATATTTCGTGCTCGATTAATTAACATTGACTTTATATATAAACAACAGATTACAAAGTCCAAAGTAATACATCTATTTGTTCAATTAAACGTACCCTTTTGTTACATACGGACAAAGATATAAATTTGTTATTAAATCTTATCTCTTACTAATATTATAAATGCGAATGTTTGGATAGATGGATGGATATTTGTTTGAAGGTATCTCTGGAACGGATCAACGGATCTCGCTAAAATTTGACATAGATGTAGAACATAGTCTGGAAGAACATATAGGCTACTAATTAAGTTTTCTTTTTAATTCCGAGCGGACGGAGTCGCGAGCGACAACTATTATTTTTATAAATTAACATTGATTGCCTATTGTACTGAATGTCGTAATGCATTCACATAGTTCACTCTTATCTGTTAGGTTTTGTAATGTAGCACGCAGTCCAGTTCAACGATTACAAATATTTAATTCGTATTTTTAGACAATTTATATGGATACACAATTACTAATTTTATAAGTATAGTAATTTGGTAAAACCACAATGTATCATTAGTAATTTTGGTAATCCCCTATCATGTATACCTATTCATATTATAAAGAGGATGTTTTGATTGTTTGTTTGCATTGAATTAGCTTCGAAAGTACTCTAATGATTTGAAAACATCTTTCACTGTTGGAAAGCTAAATTATCCACGAACGACGTTGACCATATTTATAACTAGTTTTTCAATTCTGTGTTGACGAAATCGCGGGCAACTATTAGTTTTCAAATAAGTACAAATATGTAGTCGAACAATAAGCTTAATAATGTTTATTAAATGAGTTCAAAATTAGTCACTAGTAAAATAACAAAAAGGCGGATTACATGATTTGTCGATAATTCAGAAAACCCGCGAAATCTCTATTAATTATAGCAAAAATAGTCAAATACAATATTGACTTCAACCAATATTAACTTGATTATTATTGTACGATGTGTATAAAAATAAACGTAATGTTTAAAACATGTTCCGCATAGTTTATGATAACGAAATGCACAATGGAGTTTGTTCAGATATACTCATGAATAAAACATCATCGGTCCCGGAAAGACTGCCTCATACGGAGATGTTAAAGCTTTATGTTACATTCATGTACATGTTATAAATCTTTTTGTAAGTATGACATCCCATATATCCGGGATAATTATAACCAAACGTTGACTTGAGTAAGTAGTAAAAATCTAAAAAACAAAACAAACATTTATATATTTTTAAAGAAAAATATTTCCTTTTATTTCTTATAATTTGCTAGCTAATTAATTATAGTAGTTAAAAAAGTATTCAATTTTTAGGATATACATGTTTCAGTGGTATAATTAGTATACTTACTTGTTGAATAAAATCTAAATAATAATAATGACCCGCAAACTTTCCCTATCAACAACAGCAGGAAGCGTATTGGTGAGATGACCATTGTTTTGTCGATTTCGGTGGCCCACAAAGCGCGGCCTATATGTGTGCTATCAGCTGCTGTGACGTCATCGTTCACTGACACCGCGATACTATTCGCGGGCTATTCGTACGCACGTGCGCGCTCTCTTTGTTTTGACATCTATAAGGGCAAAGAACTTTATGACGTTTCCCGCGCAAAATTATGTCAAATTAAGACGTAAATATTTATCTTTTTAATATTTAATGACTCGTCTATCTTATTTATAAAAGAATTATTTCCTAAATTATTCAGTTGCTATGGACATTATCAATAGCCATATTTAATCTCGCGCTGATAAAAGCTAAGGACAGCTGGACTAAGGCGATTGTCTATAAATAATCTCAACGAACATGTAGAACAATGGAATAAAGATTTCTAGGCACTTCAAGAAGTCAAAACTTTCAATTTACTTAAAAATATTACTTTAAGTGTCATAAAAATTAATCAGCAATTTAAAAGAAATATACGTAAATTGCCAACATAAAGAAAATAGACATTCTGAATTCACGTATCTTGCAACAATACTTGGAGGTAACTCATCATAAAGGGCGGAAAACATTTTCATAACGACAATAATAAGCTCCAATAAATTATCTTTAGATAAGTTGTTAATTATGACTAAACAAAGGCCGCAATTAAAATATTTTAAACATTGTTCATCACGAGAAGTTGCCAAGATAATAAATCTCTATAAAGAAAGATCTATATATTAAAAAAATGAAATAAAAACAAACTTGGGTAAACATTAGGAAAAAAACAAGACCTGACTTCAAGTATTTACAGATAAGTAAGAATCAATGTTGACACATCGATAAATCGTAATTCGCGCGCCAAAATATCCATCAAAATATTTATTTAGTACTCGACGTATATCATTAAAGTCGTGATAAGTGTTCAACATGTTATTGTTATTTACGAATGTCATATAAAACTTCAACAAGAAAGCAAATAAAATAATTAAATTTAGTTTAACGATCAAAGAAAATAAAATTTGCAATTTTGGCAACGATTGCGGTTTTTGTGCTGTTGAACATTATTTTATTGTAAATAATTATATTAAATTGTTATAACAAAGTTTTTTTTCCTGCAACAAGAATCTATATCGACGTTTAAATTCTCGCCATATTTAAGTTGGTTCGTGATACAGTTACGGTCCTGAAAACATATTGATATGTATAATTTGGTGTACTGTCAAAATAATATTGTCTATCCCTTCATTCTCTTTCAAAAAAAACCATAGACAAAGTTATGTTATAGAATAATTAAAATAGCTGCAATAAACACATAAATTATTGTGTTTAGAAAATTATATGCAATTAAATGCGTTTACATGTTACACCGATTAACAACCTAGTAATAAAATTAAACTTTATTAGTATTATAAAGTTTCTCGTAGTTTTTAGATGTTGGATTAATCGTTGGTTCCTTCGAAACAGATGACGATATGTTTTACACAGATATTTTGGAATTTGAAACCATCCATTAACTTCGTTTATATATGTGCACAAATTAAAAATTGCAGTAGAGATTTTTTAATCCATTTTGGTGCACATTTTATAAATTTTACATCGCAAAGGCGTGCATATAGTTTTTCAAACTTTATTTGTATATTAATATAACTAGGGCCTTGTCTTATAGTGATTCAATTTGTAAATTATAATAGGCCATAAATACATAATAGTGTTTGTATAAAACACCTA